TCAAATTGAACACCTTGGCATTCGAGTTCTATATTAATCCACATTTCTAAAGCAAAATGTCAGGAAATTGAAGAAATGCCTAAAACATTTCACACATTAAATAGATCAAATTTAGCAACACTTTGTTAATAAGAGTTTCATAGCCTTTCACCCTATAAAAACAGCACATGTTTTTTCTCCTTGGCTCACTCTACTCCCCTTGATTTCAACTAGTGTTAGATCAGATCATTTAATAGAATCACAGAGCTGGAAGTGACTTTAAGAGGTCATCAAGTCAGTCTCTTGCACTCAAGGCAGGACCAAGCACCATCTAGACCATCCCTGACAGGTATTTGTCTAACCTGCTCTGAAAAATCCCCAGTGGTGGTGATTCCACAACCTCCCTAGCTGATTTATTCCAGTACTTAACTACATTGACAGTTAAGATGTTTGTGTATAGGTCAGAGACTCAGCTACTGTAAATCCATATGGATTCACTGGCTTTAGTAAAACTAGATTATTTAATAGCAACTGAAGATCTGGCCCATAGACATTTTCTGTTAGATGATGCTCATCCCCACTCCCAAATCAGTGGGAATTCTCCAGAGGTCTGCTTCTGCTCCTCTTTTCCATCTGCACCTCCTAACATTGCACAGCTAGAACTAACCTATTTCAATTACAAGTCTATTTCTCCCACCTGGAGCTATCTGCCTCTAACCAGTCCCACAATCAGCACTACCTTTCTGGTGTTTCTTTCAATGACCAACCACCATTTCAAACTTAATATAATAAAAATTGATCTCTTAACTTTTCCTTCTTACCCCTCTCTACCGCTCCTGTCTTCATTCCTGTCACCAAAGCCTCTATTTTCTTCTCACAAGCCTGAGGCCTCACAGTCATCATCAGCTTAGAATCATAGAATATTAGAACTGGAAAGGACCTCAAAAGATCATCAAGTCCAGTCCCCTGCTTCATGGCAGGACCAAGCATGGTCTAGATCACGCTTTATAGATGTCTGTCTAACCTGCTCTTTAAGAACTCCTGTGATGGGGATTCCACAACTTTCATAGGCAATTTTTTCCAGTGTTTAACCACCCTGACAGTTAGGAAGTTTCTCAATGTTCAGCCTAAACCTCCCTTGTGGCAATGTAAGTCCGAAACAGACCCCTGCAGAACCCTACCTGTTATGCCCTTCCAGCATGACTCTGAACCGTTAATAACTACTGTCAGAGAACAGTTATCCAGTCAGTTATGCACCCATCTAAGTTGTATTTGCCTAGTTTATTGATAAGAACGTCATGCAAGACTGTATGATTCTCCCCTCTCATCTAAATCCTCTAATTTCTGCCTACTCATCCCCTGCATAATGTGACCCTTCCCTTCTGTTTCTACTGTTAACTATAGTGCACAATCTAGTCCTTTTCCACCTTGATTGTTACTCATCCCTTCCATCCCCCAAATGTATGTCATAGTTACCACAGCCAAGCCAAAATACATCTGCCGAATGCAAGCCATTGTTAGACTATATCGTGGCATATTGCATTTCATGTTCAACTGGAGCTGTAGTCTATACTACTGCGTAGGTACACAGACAAGCCATTAAAGTTGATATGCTCACTAACATACATTGTGACTTGACCAGTGTGGCTTATACAAAGTGGAGTAGGTTACATTGCTGTGAGTCACAATTTGCATCCGTGTAGTGCACTTGTCCTAAGGGTCTCCACTAGTGGAACTAGATCAGGGGGTAAGCAATAAAATGTGGTGGTTTACCAGGATTAGTTCTGAAAGGGTGTTGCCTCCATATTTACTTGTGCCTCCACAGGTGCTGGCGATTGCAGCTCCCGTTGGCTGTGGATAACTGTTCCTGGACAATAGGAGCTGTGGGAAGCGGTGTGGCCAGGAACAGTGATCTATAGCCATTGGGAGCTGTAATCATCTGTATCTGCAGAGGCACAGATAAATATAGAGGTGGTGGCCTGTCAAGAGATAATCCTGAGGAACCAGCTCCAGGCTATAGGCTGGTATTTGCCCACCCCTGAACTAGATCAACACTACACCACTCCTGGCTAAAAATCCAAAGTAGACAATCCTAAAATGTCTTGTTCTTGCCTATACGTGTCTTCTTGCTGCTGTCCCTGCTTACATCTCTTAGACATCATTGGTTCAGCAAAAGATGTAGGTCTTGATACCCCTCCCATAATCTCTCCCCTTCTCATGAAGTCATCGCTGTTTCTTCATCCATGCTACTCCCTGTGCATGGAATGACATCCAAAGTCTACTTGCATATCCTCCTCATTTGACTTACTCCCCAAAGACAACTTCTAAAGCACTGCCTACAGAAAATGAATTTTTAGAATAAAAATCCTTCCTCTTACCCTCATAAATACGAAAACATTTAACAGTTATAGTTTCGTTTTCTGCTCATGAAATATCCAGAAGCAGATTGATTTCCTCTAACTTATTTATTATTCAAATGTATTTGATGAATACCTGTTTGAACTTTTCTGTTCTATGGAGTGATCACAAATATTTGAAATTCAAGTTGTGTTGCTCAGCTAGATTGATTAGTTAAGCCATATAGTATTGCTCCTATTCCCTGATGGGAAGGCTATGCAAGCAGTTCGGGTATTGAAAGATGCACATGTGAATTTACTGGTCAGTTTTTGGTAAATTTTTATCTATGTACTTAGAACATTTGCCTTCCATGTTCCAGTCAAACTCCCTTGCTCAGATGTCTATGGAAAATGATTCAAACACAAATATAGCAAAAACCTCTGTGTTTTGAAATATGAAGAAATATGAACAGGTTTTTTTAGTACTCTCTTGTTAATAGAGTTAAAAGTTTCCCTCTCCTTCCAATATTTGAAAATTATTGATTAAAATTATAAATATCTCCTAATCCACTTCAAAAATAGCATTCAACTCAATATTTTATAATCTGAGTTTAATTTTCAAGTAATGAATTCTAATTCTCACCACCTGTGAGTTTGTGATATTGTTGAAATAGAATGGATTTTTAGGTCTGTTGACAGATACTTCCTATGTCCCCAATTTTGCTGGCAGCCTCTTAGGATCTCAAACAGAAACGTGCTATTGTGATGTATTGTGATGTATTGTGCTATAGAGCCAATGAAACATGACTTGTGTCTAACATTCACCTATAGTTCTGGTACTAAACCAGTCAATCCTGAACTTCTCTGTGATGCAAAAAACAGACAGTTCGATCTGCCACAAACTGGAAGACAGGGAATGAACTTAAAAAAAAAATCTAACTGATGATTATTCATTTTTGACTACTTTTCCTCTAGCTTCAATTGTCTTTGATCTTACCACCTTCAGAAAAGGCTTTAATATACTGAGCTAATAGATTGCATGTCATTGCCAGAATCAGTGAGAGAAGCAGTTAAGTCTCTGTCCTACATTTGTTGTGCATGCATAAGTCACACTGACCAGGGCCGACCTTACCATGAGGCAAACTGAGGCGGCTGCCTCAGGTGCCAGACTGGGGGGGGGGGGTGCGCCACTAGGACCCAGAGTGTAGAAAATTGTGTCTGCTGCTGGTGCATATGTATTCTCTCTGCTTTAGATGCACAGAGATGGTGGAGTGCTGTGCTGGAGGAAGGAGGGCACAAGAGACATAACAGGCAGGCAGGAGAAAAGGTGGCCTGGGGGTGTCATTTGAGCTCCCTACCTCAGGTGCCAAAATGTTGTGGGCTGGCCCGGACACTGACAGTCAGTGAGGAGCCCGACATATGTGTCTGAAGCCAGAATTAGGAACCTGATCCTGCCATCCAGATCCTGGCGTCAGCAAGAGATATGGGTTCTCAGTACCACTCTCAAAGGATCCCTTTGGACTTAATTTTTCAATTCAAGAAACACTTACAAAGAAGTCTGCTAAAGAAAAGGCAATTTATGGTGTTTCTTTATTCTCCTGCACTGTTTAAAACCAACAAGCTAATAATACCCCTTGATACATGAGGAGGGCAAAGTCAAAATATTCTTTATAACCAGGGAGGACTGCAGGAAACCTGATCTTACTCACTGCAGTTTAACATCGAAGTTGCTATCATCTGTGATTTTTGTCAAGTCTTGTGTTTTTGATGGTTTTCTTAAAGTCCAACTATGGGCAGCATGTGATCACGGGATAATCTCATTGATTTAAAAAGGATGCTTCGAGTCTTGATGGCTGTAGACAAAAAGCTTAAAGATCTGACCTAAGTGCATCCTAATGTTTCAGGAAACAGAAGGCATTCTGTTTTAATCTTAGGCTTTTTCATCCATTCCGGTGATTTGTGGGGACCCTGACTCATGATTTTTGAACAGTTACCGAGCAACAGATGTGACAAAACATTTTCTAGCAAAAATCATAGCTTAGACATAGAAAATTTGGTAAAAGTCACTGGCTAAGTGGAAAATGTTGTGTAAAGCCATAGGGAACATGTTGGGGGAGGCGAGAGAGGCATCATGCTCTGCCCAGGAGCAGTGGGCTGTCTGTGGGAGGCTGTAGAGCCTGCTAGCTCTGCACTCAACCCACCCTGGTGGTTCCTATCCTGCAGGGCTGGCTTGGCTTCCTGTTCTGGCTCATAGTCTCTTGCCATCGCATGTAGGCAATGCACTGCCCCATTCCTTTCCCGACGTGGCTCCACCAGATAGCCTGCCTCAAGCTCAGCTATGGCAACAAGAGAGGTTGGGTTTAATCACAGACAGAAGGAACTGTCATGGTCATCTGTGACATTACTACCACTGTGGCAAATCTGCAGCCCCAGTACTTTTAAATGGGGAATAGGGAAACATGAAGACTGCCCTCTTGTCACAGTGAAATTAAGAAGAATAATGGGTGTAGTGATGGGCAAGCCTGGTCAGTGAGGTAAGTGAAAAAATTAAATTCCAACCTCTGAGTAATCTTAATTGCTTATTAGAAAATACATATGTGGTATATTTGAAATGGGGAAGAAATCATAGAAAATGTGTGTGACAGGTGCCGTCACAGAATGTCCCTTGGGGTGCGGGGGACTTACCAGGGTGCTGACAAGGGCACCGCCACTCATCGTCCTGCTTTCTGGGGCTTATCACCATTCTGTCCTGCTGGGCCAGCTTCTTGGTCTTCCCCAGCCAAGGCACAGAGCACTGCTTGGTCTCCCCCACCTCCAAGCAGTGCAGCCACTGACACTCTTCAGGTTCAAGGAAAATGCAATTTAGGGCCCAGCTTCCCAGGATATCATCCCCAAATGGGATCAGAACCCCAAATGAATGATTTAGGTAACTCCCCCTCGCCCGTGGCAATGAAAGGGGGAATGTACACACTGGTTCCTCCCCCAGGTAGCAATTATTTACACTGGGCTTAATAGTAAATAATAGTGATTTTATTAAGTACAAGCATTATGATTTAAGTGGCCATAAGTGAGAACAGGGAGAGCAAAGCACATTACAAATTAAAAATAATGTTTAGCTAATTCTAACACTAACATCTCTCTACAAATTTATTAGAAACTCACCTTAAAACTGTTCCTTTTCCAGCTAAAACTTCAAAACCAGGGGAAACTCCTCTTCCCTTGGGGGTCTCTGGATTGTTCTCTCAAGTGTGTCAGACAAAGACAAAGACCCTGCTAAGCTTCCCATTGTTTTTTTTGAATTCCCTTTTACATGAGGAGGCTACCTGGCCAGTCCCTACCAGTTAGGGAGGTCATATGACTTCCTAAGACCAACCACTGCTAAGATTTAAGGGACAAAAGAGGGTGTTTACATATAATTGCCCAAACATTGAGGCATCCCAGCACTGGAAACACCCTTGATGCCTTTCATTTGTACATTTAAAACCATAAAGCATTCCATACTCCATATATCTAACTTTACACACAAGAATGACACATACACCAAAATAAGATCTATAGACCCAGCAAATTAAGACTGAGAGGTTACACGAGGCATTTGTCCCAAACATCTTCAAGTTATGCATATTTGTATCCATAAGCCCATTTCATAAAGCATGCGGGAGGGAGGGTGGAGATCACAGTATATCACAAGAGAATGTGCCTGCCACGCAGCACACCTCCTCACAGAGGTTTGTGTGTGGGAGGAGGAGTGATTAGATGAATGCATTGATCAAGCCAGGAAGGCCACTGTTCTGAAATGGAGCCTTTTACATTTTAATAGCTATAGATCACCCATTCAGGTTAAGGAAACCCATCAATAATAAACATTGCCTCTGTAGGAGCTGCAGCCATTCAAAAACGGTACCAGTCTCAGCACGCAGGCAGTGCTTTTGGAAATGCTTTCGGTGCAGAACAACGAAAACAAAGACACCCAATATATACCTCATCATAGCCACATACACCACAGAGCCTTATCTACCACCTTCCAGAAGCTCTGTTTCTCCCCATAGAACATCTGAAGAGAGAACATGATGCCATAATATAGCAATTATGTGGGCTGTTTATCTCTTTCTCTATCCTCCTAGCATCTTGTCCTGAGCCTGAGTGTTACTTTTTGCCAGTCTTCCACTCTAACAGCTGTTTTATAAATGCTTCACTATGCATTAACCTATTGGTTTATTTATCAAGAGCCAAGAATGCACTTACAACTTTTTTCTATATGAAGCATTCTTTTTAGAGCAATTCCATACTAATTAAGCTAAATGTGATAATGACACAACATTGATGGAACTGAAGCTAATGATAATGATGCAATACATCAGTCATGAGCACCTACTCAATAAAATTAATGGCAGCATTGTATGAACAGCACTGTGTCCCACATTTTGGAACACTGAGAAAAAATGTCACAACATTGTTGCTTCACTGAACAATAAATAGGTTTGAAATGAACTACCCTGGCTTCTATAATAATGTGTCCAATCAATTATTTTATCCCGGTGTACATAGTTACATGCTAATGGAAATATGGTAGTTTTCAAAAACTGAAGTAACCAAGAATGGATGGCTTTTTAATCAAATGAATACACAACTGCTCAGTTGAGAATATTTTGATTTGAACTGCTAAGCATATTTGGAAAACATATCTTCCCGAGAATGCTTTAAAAGTGATATCATTCTTCAAGTAAGCACCTCTATTGCTAGTTTAAAAACAAGAGTTTGTGCTGTTGTTTTAAATTACTGTTTCCCTGTCATAGTATTAGTTTGAACTTGTGATGTTGCCATTTCTTCATTTTTTTTTAGTTGTGCCACTTGGATGTGAAATTTTTCACCTGTTTTATTTTTATTTGTATTTTTTGTATTTTTTTTTTAAACAATCAACTTTCAGCACCAGAATCATTAAAATTCTCCTCCTCATAGAAAATAATTTGAATCAGTAAATTTGGACTTGTTTTATTTAAGATGCAC